TCCTAGCTAAAATGGCGGTTCAGTTTCTCCTAGGAGTGGGTTAGGTGTCACGGAAAAGGCTAATTCCGACTGATTCTTCTTTGTAGAGATTAAGAAAGCTTTTGGAAGAGCTAAATCAAAGTTTGGAGATGGTTTTTTTCTGACCCAAAAAATTTCCTGGATTTCAGGCCCAAAATTAGGGCTTCTTATATAATTTCAAAGGCTGAAACTATAAGGTTTAGTTGCTTAGTGTCTGGGGAGAATTTTCTTTGTTAGATGTGGTAGAGTTTAGGGATTGTATTCTGGTTTTCTCCTTATAGGGAGCTCTCGGGTTAGCTCATTAAATAGTCACTAAAGGCAACAAGGGAGCTTAGAGCTGATAGAGGCAGGAGGTGGTGTAAGGAGGTTCAGGGAGTCGAGAGAGATAAATTTTTGGTTATGAAAAACACTCTTCTCCCATTTCCATGGTTAGGTCATCATAAGCTTAAGCATAGAGGAGGAAGAGGCTTAAGGTAAGGTTCTCTTTCTATTAGAGAGGGGATAAGGTAGATGGACAACATTGTAGTGAGCTGGTTCAGTTAATCCACATAAAGAGTGTGATGTGAAATTTGGATAAGATCCATATGCTTCCCCTTACATGATTATTTTTTACTATTGGGCCAAAAATAATGGTTATCCATGAGGCTCAATTAACCACATGAATTTGGCATGTCATGATGGGTTCATGGGTTATGGGTGACCCAATAACACATGGGTAAAGGGAGTTCTGGGCTTGGGCCTTCATGAATGGGCTTGGATTTGCATGTGTGCCCCTTAGGCTAAATGCTCCTCATGAGGTGATTTATTTGACTTAATTAATTAATTAATTAATTAATTAATCAATTAATCAATTAAATAGGTCAAACTTATGAGGTTGACCATTTGATCCTATTTGGGCATATGATTGCCCAAGGTGATTTAGGGTTGACCCTTTGACAAGGTTTGACACATCATAGTTGATCAATTGAGAACAATTAGGACCTAGGGTTGACCAATTAGGTCCCAAGGTTGACCAATTAGGTCCTAAGATTGACCATAGGGTCCAAGGCTGACCAATGGTCAAAGGGGAGACCATTGGATCCAAGGTTGACCAAATGGTCAATGTGGCGACCATTTGGTCTAAAGTTTTCATCATTGATTTAATCATCTTGGGATTTCATCATGATTTGGGCTCAAAAAGGACACATTAGAGATTTGGTCTAGCTTTTAGGGTGGAGGACCCTAGGTAGGTTCAAAAAGTCACTGTTGGTAGACTTCTTCCCGAGGTAAATTTGATGGTCTTGATAATCATTAGGCTTTTAGGAGGGTGTCTGGGGATCCTAATATGGCCACACCAACTAATATTGGTTCGTGCATATTTCCCGTGTGGACGATTAAACCCACATGCTTAAAACTAACCTTATGGTTAGTTAGGAAATAAATATACAAAGGTCTTAGGAGGCTGTACAAGCATGGTGATTGATCGAAGTTTCACACTTGTGTTATGGATGATGCTCTCCTAATAGTTGGAGAGAAGCCCATGGTGGTGCTCCAGTGATGCTTCCCTGAGTTGAGATGAATTTATCTCATAGAAAGAGAGTCTGGCAAAGTCTCGAGCTCCGATGATAACCCTTATCCTAGAATGAGGAAGCTTTCCTAAAAAAGGAGACTCTAGCAAAGCAGCACACCAAGCCCCTTTCTCTTCCTCTGTTGGCAAGGAAATGACCAGAAGAGAGAATGGAGAGGAAAAAAGTAGAAAAAAATAAAGAAGTGGAGGAGGAAGAAGAAGAATACTGTACAACTCTCTCCCATTGCTCTCCCTTAGCACCCGATCTCAAATGCATCAACCCCCCAAATGAGAGGGAGACCATCGATTAAGCATAGCCACCCCCCTAAAAAATGACCAAGAAGCCACCTAAAGATGCCAAAGAAGCTTATAAAGTGAGGGCAAAAGTGTCCTTTCACACCACCTTTTTCCACTCCAAAGGTTCATCATCACCCCTTCTACAAATACTACAGCTTTGAGAGTCCAAATGACAAAAAATTGAGCATTTTTGTGAACTGGGAAGTGACTGGCGCTTAGGCACCATGTCCTTGGGCGCCTAGGCGCCACCCCTGTGGCTCCTATTTTTTCAGCTCTCGATAAATTGACTATCTTTTGCCTGTTTTGGGTGCCTAGGCTCCCGAGATTAGCGCCCGATATTGGCGCTTATGCCCAAGTGATAGAAATAGTTGTCAAACCTCTGGAGGCTCGAGCTTGATGACCCAAAAAGGCATCTTGGGTGCTTAGTTGCCCGGGGTCGGCGTAGGGGTGCCGGTCTAGCCCAAAACCTCGGTTTTCACCGGGAATGCTCAACGGAAGATTTGTTTTGACCCGTAAGCTATGTGCAACTCTTTATGAGTGAAATTGGTCATATGCCTCTGGACTCGTGTATTTTGATATGTGATACACAAGGGAAATTGTTGTTAGTGGTTGCCCTAAGCCATGGCTTGGGTAGGGTGTCCCAAACCCTAATTTTTTTCATAACGCATGTAGGAGACTTTTGTGACTTCCTATGGTTGTAGGAGGCTCCAAATGGATGTGTGGAGACTTCTAAACACTAGAATGAGTGTTGAATATTTCTCACATCCTAAATAGGCCTTTCTAAAAGGATTTTTTGCGGGTCAGTCTGAATCGCTGCCATCCCTAGCTACTTTTCCCAAACAAGTGCTAAGAGTCTCGGGAAAGTATCTTAAGCTACCGGATGCTACTGACGAACTATAGGCTATCCGGAGTCATGCACTTGGACACATTACATTCATGACATCAAAAATTGATGCCAATAATAGTCAACCCAAAACTTCATGGGAAAAACTCGTTACCACGCTATGGGGCCCTGTGTATAATTTTCTCCTCAATAAACAAATAAGGGAAACCAAATGACAAGATTTGGCCATAATTTAGAATTCATCCTTCATTTAGTCAGTATATTAATGAAGAAACTCAATATAAATTTTTAAAATTAACATGTAGCAGCTATCAGATAGCCCTAAATAATTACTTAACTGCAGTGCATAGTCCATACAAAGTATGTAAAATAATATTTTAACACTTTTTATAAACCATTTTCTAAAAAAAGTTGAATTACTTTTTCATGAATATCCCAATATAGCTCAAATAATGCACTAAGTCAAGCATCCACTTTAGCAAGCAAACAATACAAATCAAAAAAATTAGTTAATTACATCTATAATCCAATAAATTTATGAATTAACCTCATGTAATATTGCATACTTAACATGCCTCACTTTACTAAGAGTCTTAAAGCAGGCATCTTCTTCAATGAAAAGACCATACACGACATGTTGCAGAATAATTTAGTTAATTTTTTCAAACTTTTTAAGATGGTTAGCCAAAAACTTCATGGGGATAACTCATTACCACGCTATGGGGACCAATTTACAATTTTCTCCTAAGCAAACAATGAAGGGAAACAAATGGTCAAGATTTAATCATAAATTTAATTTTATCCTTCATATATACAGTATATTAATGAAGAAACCCAACATAAATTTTTACTGTTAGCATATATCAACTCTGATAGCACTAAAAAATGACTTTATTTCGATGCACAGTCCATACATTGCATGTAATATTTTATCGATCTTTAGCTTTTGGTTTAAGTTTTCATAAAAAGTGGTTCTTTCAGCTTTTGGTTCAAGTTAAAAAAAATATTTATTTCTATAGTTTTTGTATTCATACATATCCGAGAATGTCTAAAATCTTTGAATATATGCATATTAGCTTATTGTACGATATCTTATGCTTATGTAATAGGTAAATTCTGAAATTTTTTTTCTGGAAGAGTATGAATGACTCATCATATTGCTAAAAGTCTACAATAAATAAATTTTTTTCTCAAACACAACCAACTTATAACAACATAATACAATTACTCATATTTGCTTCGAAAAATACTGTAATAACACAGTGGTGGTTTCCAATGAAGCTTTCTAAATTAAGAAGTAATTACCGCAGGGTTTACATTTAAGATATCGCTAGTAATTTGTTCGCTATCCATCGTCGCAGATCTTCTTCGTCTTCAATCTCCTTTTTTAAACCTTTTCGTCTTCAAACTTTCTCCATTTCATAATTTTAAAACCAATTTTTTATTTCAGCTCATGCATCTATTTTCCCATCTGGACATGCGCAGTAAGTATTATAACCCTGGGATTAATAATTATTCGGACTAGGTTCGGGTCATACACAGGCGAATTTTCCTGTTTTATGTTATATAAAAGTGGGACTTGTCCACGTTGCGTTATATATTTTTTTCCAAAACCTACTTGATGGATGACTTTGGTGAGTAAATCAATCCTCTGATTTTTCCCTCGTGTATTTTTCACTTAAAATTTTGTTCCTCGCCTTCTTGATTCGCTTGTTATCCTCATTTGACCTAACAATTTCCTAGCAACCTTTGGCTAACGGTCTAATTTCAAAACACAAAGAAGGAATCACTATAGCATTTAACTTGAATTCAGTCCAACATATCACCCTCCACAAGAACATAGAAGGAATATCCAATTTTTGAATTTCAAACATTTAGGAACATAGAAAAATTCCAAAATAATTGCAAAAATATGCATGTTTTTAATACTTTTCTCTTAAAATCTCACCATTAATTCTGGTATATAAGTTCAGAATGTAAAGCTCCCTACACATTAAAAATGTTGGCGCATAAGCATGCTTCTCCCCTCCTTCCTTGAAAGCCTCTATTAAAGGTACAGTCAAGTATATGGTCCCTACTATCTATGCATCATCTATCTATTTTCACACACACACACAACAATACCACTCATCATTAACTTAAAACTATCTTAATAATGCAATATAATTTGGTGGGAACTTCATCGAGGCATCTATGCTTAGAAACGAAGCTCTGATATAGTAAATGCATGATAGGCATGCGTTGCAAGCAGTGTACTTTATTAGGTTCTCTCTCTCTATATATAAATATATATATCTGAAAGAAGATGGCAGCCATCCAAGGGACAGCAAACAAACTAAAAGGTAAAGATGGTTCCTGAGATCGTCGAGGAGGAGGTTATCGGAGGAACAATGTCGTTGACACCACCGCCGTTGCTCAATCTGAACCATGTCTCGTTTGTGGTCAGATCTGTAAGCCGATCGGTGAAGTTCTATGAAGAGGTGCTTGGTTTTGTTAGTGTCAAGAGGCCTTCTTCCTTCAAATTTCATGGAGCATGGTAAAAGTTTTACATCACATTCTTCTTACAATCATGACATTCTACAATTATATCAATCTTACCAATACCTCAGTATCTTCGATCAGATTAAGAAAAGGAAAAAAAAAGAACTTTCATTACAATCTATTATTATTAAGCATTAAAGTTAGTGATAGGTCTCTGAAAAACTGATCAAATCAGTTCCTTCCATCATTATGTAGGCTCTACAACTATGGCATTGGAATCCATTTGCTGCAATGCAACACCCTTGATGAGGTTCCAAAAAAGAAAGGAATCATAAACCCAAAAGAAAACCATATCTCCTTTCAATGCTCAGACAGCTTCCTTCTGAAACGAAAACTTGAAGGAATGGGAATAGAGTATATCACTGCTGTGGTTGAGGAAAGTGGCATAGAAGTTGACCAGATCTTCTTTCATGACCCAGATGGCTATATGGTGGAGATTTGCAACTGTGACAATCTCCCTGTGATCCCACTCTCCTCATGCCCGATGAAACTTCCTTATATGAAGGATCTAATGCTTTCTTCCATATATGGTGATAAGCTTTAACAACCATGAAAAAACCTTTAGTATTCTTTTACATGTAATGTACATTATAACTAGCGATGGTTGATTACTGAATATTGTGTAGGTAAAGGGTATCCTAAGTCGCAATTTGGATCATGTGGTGCTGAAGCAGAAACAGTGATCATGGAAACATTGATGACTGACATGATGGATATTTCCTTCTGATAACTGTGAAATGGAGAAGAGATTTGTGTACAGCAGTACCTACTTGAAGTTCTCATTTGGTCACCAATATATCGGTTCCGGGCTGATGGTCAAGAAGTAGGCAAAATTAATTTTTACCAGTTTGAGGGTAAGAGCGACTTGGGGAGGGATGTTATGTGATGAATAAGCAAAAAGGCAAGGTTAATTCTTTGTTGCATTGAAAAACTATTATTTTTGGTAAATAAATTAATGTTACTTCTCTTCTCCATACTATTTGAAGTCCTTCTATTGTATTAGTCATTTATGTATTGTAAAGTTTTATTTCTTCTGTGGCATTCCGGTTGAATGCTTATTCTGTTTAAAAAAATTGCGATTTTTGAGAAGTAATAATTTAAAAATAAGCTTGAGTAATAGTTAAAGTGCCTTCATTAAGATTTTGAGATTTTGAGTTAGTACATAAATACGTCAACATGAATCTCGAGAAAATTCAACAGACTATTAGACAAATGTGCGGTTAGTAATGACCCAAAAAAGAAGAACCTATGGTCACATCACTGAAAAACTAAAGACTTGATTGAATAAGTACAACTCCTTTGGGTCGATGCCGGAAACCGACTGAATGAAAGCCATCTAACACAAAGAATAAGACCTATTGAATCGAGAGAAGGCATCAGCCCAACTCTCATCCAGCATCTCCAAACGCCTCCCAAGAGCCTCCCAGCTGAAGGTTCTCATCACAATGCACTCCATGAACACCCCAAAGAGACCTTCTGTCAAAATGTGAGGTACTTGTCGAATTATGGCGCTTCACCCTTTACCCCACAGTTTAGTCTCATCCTAGCGATGAGTCTCCTCATCTAGGGGTTGACAGTTACAAAGTGAGTCGAATGAGCCTCACCATACTAAGGATCACCAAACTTAGTCGATCGAGCAATAGAGTAGCCGAGCCATACGCACGTTTATGTAAATACCCAAAATATTATGTAACCCACTCGTTAAACCATGGGTAATTGTTTAATCATGCAAATGATATCCTCTTATCCTATAAATAATGGTTATTTATATAATAATGGTTAATTAATTATTCATCAAAGACTTAATTCATTAATTGTGTACTCACTCAACATCTCTCTCTCTCTCTCTCTCATGTTTTATGTTTTATTCCTTGGGTGTGATTCATAGTATAGATTCTGATTTAACATCCTAAAAGGTGTGATGAGCATGAATTGTATTAGCAACAAGAAGAAGAGCACAACAAAGAGAATAAATCTACCAAAAATACATTACAAACATGAAGTGAAATTGGGACTTCATGCAACAACAGATCTATGAGTTGAAGGATCAAATGATGGGCCATATGTTGGAGGCCATTCCGAGAAGCCATAATAAGGGGAATGAAAAAAAACCATGAAGAGGAAGTGATAGATCACAATGGCTTATGAATGACTCAAACCTGCAATAGAGTAGAATACTCCCAGTACTAGGACACTGTTGAGTTCGTGCAGCTAGACAAACATCAATTTGAGCATACTAACCCCCCCTCTCAGTCAGTGAGAGAATGCCTTCATCCAGCTGATTTCAATTGTTGAACCTCCCGATAAGTTCAAGATAATGTCTTTAGAATCTTACAAAGGTCGGACTGATCCAATAGACCATATCGCTTCCTTTAGGATCAACTGTCTGCTTACTGAGGATTACTGATGCTCGAAAGTGTCACCTCTTTTTTACCATGTTAAGGAGAGATTTGGCCCTAAGTTGGTTCAATGGACTACTAGCTGAAGTAATTATCTCCTTCACCAACTTTAAGAGGATATTCATGGTGTAGTTCACTGGTGCCCAAAAGCCATTGAAGGGGTTTGTAGGCCCTACTGCTGACCAGGCATAGGAAAAATGAGAGCCTCAGCTCATTTGTAACGTGTCAAAAGATTATGCTAGAAATGAGGAATCTGGAGCTTACAGTCACACATGACACTCTGGATCAGAGGCTAAAGGAAAGACCCTTCAACTATGCTCTTGACTCCAGCGGCTAAAGACCATAACCAAATTGCTGGAGCTGGACAACAATCACATTTTGACTGAAGAGTAGAACTCCATCCATTCATTCACCATAATGGAATCAACCACAAATCATCTAAAGAGATGGGCCCCAAGAGGCAACAGGTGGGGACCAAGGGAAGACTCGATTCTTTTACATGGCCAAGGGTCAATCCGCCTCCTTGAGACAACACGAGATCTACAGACATGAAAACTGATGTCAGGCATGGTACCCTGACCAATGGTCGGTTAGTTATCATGAACGACCATCAAATAACCACAAAGAAACAAAGGCGACTCTACTAGGAGTCTTTATGTTAGAGTTGGTGGAGGCAATCCAAAATAAAGAATGCTTGAAGAAGACACTACCCATTAGAGTCAAGGCATTTCCATAACACGAAGAAGTATTGTGCCTACCATAGAGACTATGGTCATGATATAGACGAATGCACACACCAGAGTTGATAAGAGCTAGAAAGCTCAAGGAGTTTGTGAAGCTAGGAGTTATGATCCAAAGGTAGAGGAAGGCTTTGGTAGAAGAAATTCTAGATGAGGAAGTTTGAGTGAACTCCATCCACATCACTAGATTTGAACCATTAATTTTTGAAGGTGGAAATTTATCCTGGCAAGCCAGTTAGAAGAGGCTCTGATTAGGAGAATAGTGTGTAGCCCATTTTACTCTATAGTACAACACCCATCCATTAATCATATTTGATGATGTGAACTTCCCCCAAGGAGGAACTCCTTCCATTGTTGTGACTATGATGATAGGGTATTATCAGATAGATTGTGTTATGCTTAACAATTGAAGCTCTGTGAACATCATGTTTAAGTTAATATTTAATAAGATGAAACTCTCAACAAATTGACTAGTGGCTTTGGCCAACCCATTATATAATTTCTTTGACAAGAGGAAAGCAGTCTTGGGAGTAATTGCACTACCAATCACTTGGGGAGAAGGTGAAAAGCAATTATCCAACATAGAAGGCTTCCTAGTGGTAGACTCTCCACCAAACTACAATGAGATCTTCAGTCGCCCCTGCAGAATGACAACAAAGTTTTGGTCTTGACATACCACATGACAATGAAGTTTCTTAGTGATAGAGAGTTCATCATTAATTGAAGAAACTTGGAGTAGTCTCAGGTCTGCTACCTCAGAAAGGTCGAGAAGTTGGAGCAGGAGTCGATCGACTTGAAGCACTGGCGCAAAGGGGGTCTTGAAACTAACGAGATTACTCTTGAAATCCCCGTAGTAGATGAAGAGCCCAGTAAATCTTTTTAATAAGTGAAACTTTTATGTGAGGTCTAAAGATTTGTTGATCATTAGAAGCATCGAGATGTCTTTTCTTGGCCGACATCAAACATGTCGGGGATCCGACTCAAATTTTCCTATCACCATCTTAACATGAATGCAACCATCTGAGCAATTAAGCAGAAAATTAGGTCTTTGATAATGAATCTAATTGGATCAATTCAGGAGAAGGTCCAAATGTTGAAGGAAGCAAGCTACATCCATGAGATACAATAAATGATGTGGATATCCAATGTGGTCGTGGTGTAGAAGGTGAATGACAAGTGAAGGACGTGCATGGTCTTCATCAACTTGAATGTTGTTTGCCCAAAGGATAGCTATCCACCACCAAAAATCAACATGTTGGTAGACTCAGTGACCAACCATACTATAATGAGCTTTCAAGATGCTTTCTTAGGATACAACCAAATAAAAATTCACTCAAACGATACAGAGAAGACAATTTTTATAATTAGTGAGAGCATGTATTTCTATAATTTGCTGTCCTTTGGGGCTTAAAATTGTTGGGGCTTCCAACCTGCATCTTATGGATGTAATTTTTCAGTAAAAAGGAAAAAATATTGAAGTGTATGTGGATGATGTGTTGGTTGAAATTTAGTTGGTCAAACAACACATAAAAGACTTAAAAGAAACATTTGACAAGCTCCAAAAATATAACATGAGCATTCAAACGCACTAAAATATACATTTGGAGTATTCACAGGTAAGTTTCTCAGCTATCTCTTGACACTGCGAGAATAAAAACTAATAATAAATAATTATAAGCATTACTCAACATGTCTTCAACTCTAAACACAAAATAAGTCTAAAAGTTGATTGGTCGGATAGCGGGTCTAAGACAGTTCATTCCAAAGTTGGGCAAAAAATGCACAACTTACTTCAAAATTCTTTAGAAGGCAAACAATTTGAAATGGTTTGTCGAGTGTGAGCAAGTAGTTACAAAGTTAAAAGACACATTGACATCACTACCACTAATCCAATGTTTGAAGTCAAACAAAGAACTATTGTTGTACTTGGGAGTTGGACCTGAGGCCATTAGCTTAGTAATTAGAGAAGAAATGAGGAAGTAATTCCCAATTTACTGCACCAGACGACTCCACACAGACGCTCATCGACATTTGATATTCGATTATGAAAAAATTATCTTTTGCTCTGATTATGTCTGCCCGTAGGCTCTGGCCCTGTGTCCAAAATCATTTGATTTGGGTTATCACTAACCTCCCATTGAATTCATTTTTCACTCGGTTGAAGCAATTCCGTTAGCTCCTCAAATGGGTCGTAGAATATAGTGAGTTCGACATCTTTTATGTCCCTCAGATGACAATCAAAGTGCAAACTTTGGAAAATTTTTGGGATGATTTTCTTGAGTAATACAAGCTCAAAAAAGAATCCATAGCTCACAACCAGACATTGGACCTTGTAAATTGATGGTGCCTCCAACCAGATGGACTAGCTCTGAGTTTGACTAGAGGGCACCTCTACAATTTGGTTGTCACTGAGTTTGAAGTAACAAGCAATCAGGCGCAATATGAAGTTCTAATTGTTGGTCTTTGTCTAGCCTATGAAATGGGTACCCAACATCTTCATGTGAAGTCAGACTAAATAGAATTTTGAAGCCAAAATTGAGATGATGGTCAAATACCTCAGCAAAGCTAAAATGGAGATCAGGAAGTTCGCTGTTTGTTTTATTTCAATTTTCATTTGGAAACCATACATATTTGAAGATTTAATTACTTAAATAATCAAACACAACATAAAAAGCAATATATTTTTTTGAAAGATACAAATATCACTTTATGATAGGTTCGATTATGTAAACCAGAAAATATTGGATATTTGCAAGGTATATGATTAAAACCAATATTTTTTTCTCTCATATAATTCAAACACTAGATAAGTTTTTGATTAATATGAGGTTCAAACTTCATATGGGCACAAGACCCTATAACTAATTACATATTAAGCAAAAAGTATTTTATTCGA